CCGGTGGTTTTTTCAAATTCTTAAATAGCTGTGCTGCAGCCTTAAAGGTGATGCAATTGCTTATGCCAGAACCTACTTTTTATTACCTACCATGTCTGACATCCTGACGCGTTAGGCTTATGGTGTTTTCGAAGTATTACCTTGTAAAAATGCAGATCATCAAATGAATTTTGACATGAACAACGCCGAGGAATCAAGAGAAAATAAAATCTATGTAAGATCTGGTGTGATTACGCACCAATGCAGGAATGTAGGAGTTCGCCGTTCAGTGGTCGCCTCGCACATTAGTTCAAGATAATCATGGAAGGTTGGATATACCGTTTAAAAGTATTATAAGAATTCATTAGAGCTATTAGTAAAAAAAAGTCACTTTACTTCTCTTAGTACCAAACTCCTAAATTTCCAGTTCTGTCGCGCAGATTTTTGAATTTCGATTTTTTGTGAGGTGTGCAATTGCACCATACACAGATAGACAGATAGCTTATGCGGGAAAATGTCACTGTTCGAATAGCTTACCTTCGTGAAACTAAGTGTTTTACCTTCACGAATAACTTGAGCATCTATGACGACAGTCTCTCCTTCCTTAGCAGCCGACAGGTATCTTAAAGATATCTTTTAAGAAAAGTTGGATTAAAGACGGAACTTAGAGGAGATTCCATAACTTTTGAAGAAGAAAAAACCACAAAGGAATAAAAGTTCTAGGTCTTACGTTATGTGCATATCCACACTAACACCAGGAAGACCACGTGGAGAAGCTACACATGCACAAGTGGTGAACATATCGACAAGTGTAGCCGTGCAACCACCATGCAGAGTCCCTCCAGGATTTAGCATTGCTGGTATCACCTCGAACTCCACTTTTACATGTCCTTCTGATGCGGAGATTGGTCGTATCTAAACTCCATAAATGATTTGAGGAATAATCTCAACAATAAAAGTGGCCCCAATTACCTGCCCAGCAAACTGATGGAAGTTTTTAGATTTTGCGCATGTTTCAATAAATGTTTTCAGACCTTGTAAGTACTTGGAAGAGGACATGACTACCCTGAAAATATGAGTTTGCTCATCAAACTTTAAAAGGAACGGCTAAAACAAGGTATGTAATTAGTGGGATAAATACGGCTATGCTCCAACAGTAGAATTTAGTAAATCATCCTAATAATTGCTGTTT